ATTTCACAGAACCGTCTGCATTATGAGTGTAAATGTAGCATACAGCCACAAAAGTCTCCAAATATGAATTTGCCCTTTCAAAAATAAGGTTTCAGTGTTTCAACATTTTTTACATAAGCTCAGTTTTCAAATCACCATTTACAAGATTTCAAACCTGTAAAAATGTGTTGTGAAGGAAAACTCAAATACAAAATCATGTCTGCTATAGATTTAATGTTTTTTTCATCACATCAGAACATTTAGCAAAAATTCTAAACTTAGTTTATAGCAGCAATCTTACAAAACTTTTTTTAAATACGATTTCCAGCTTTCAAATGCTGAGCTTTCAACATGTCAGAGCTTTTTAGTCCACTTGAGAATATGACATGATATTCATCCCATGAGCCACTGGTTGGCCCACTACAGTGCTGTGACAATACAATATAGCACTCTAGCACTATACAGGAAGCTGCCCTTACAACCAAACTATCAGCCTAAAACTCAGCTAACTAGTAATAGGTTGTGGTTGTTGTGTGAAAGGGGTGGACTATAAGATAAAGAGGTAGCTACTGTACTAACAGCAGGTTGAATATATGTTAAAACAGCATGCCATAGGCATGATGTCTCACCTCACTGTACGTATACAGTTACACTCAAGCTTTAGCGTCCGAAAACAATGGCAGAAAATAATGAAAAGCTGTCTTACCCCCACGCCTGATCTCAAGATTTTTATCTTTGCCCTTTACTCAGAATCCAAGCTGTGACCTTTACTTCCTTTCCAAAGACTTCTGCATGCTGCCTGAGACATTTACCTTTTGGGCTGCACAACTCTCGAAATATATCTTTCCTTTTTCAGTTACACCGTTTAGCCATAACATAATTAACACTGGGCACCCTGAGGTCATAATCTATGCAACCCCCATACGCAACAAACCTCGACTGTGCTGTTCTGAACCCCTTTCTATCCGAACCAGCCTTAATGTTTCACAGGTTTGAGCTACAGAGCTCGTCTGTTAGATCAGACCCACACGCGCAGCCTTCACTACCCCACGTACATCAGTGACCCTGCCGCTCGGTCACTGCTTTCTCTCTTGACACTTTTGATAGGTACTGACCCTGTAGTACCGAACAATCCCATAAGAGCTGCAGCGTTTGAGATGCTCTACCAGTCTGCCATCACAATGGGGCCCTTCTCAGATCGCTTAAACTCACGCTGCCCATTTTCCTGCTTCTAAACAACATCAACTTTGAGGACAAAATGTTCACTGCCCTGCTACATATATTCTCTCTCACTGACAGGAGCCATGAGTAACCAGATTAATCAGGGCTGGTTATTACCTCTGCATCATTTCATTGTAAAATGATAACTATGATTGGACTGCCAGCTACTAAGAAGAACAAGTAAAAAAAACAATATAACAATAAGGCAAATGCCCATGACGTTCTTTTTTTTTTTTTTTTGCCAACCAAAAGGCTCAGCTGTGAATGAACAGTCTGCATTATGAGTTAAAAGTATCTACAAACTTTCAGTGTT